GAGATCCCCCAATCCCACTCCTGCCCAATCCCCCCTAACCAGGGATCCCCCAGGCCCGACCCCACCCCTGCCCACGCCCCCAGCCCCACCTCGGAGGCGATGAGCTCCAGCCCCCGGCACTGCCGGTCCTTCTCCTTCTGCACGAGGCTCCAGAGCTCGGGGTCGCTCTGGGCCAGGCTCTCCTGGCCCGTCCAGCCCGGGCACTGCCCGGGGGCGGCGGCGGCGGCGGGGCCGTGCTGTGCCCGCCGGGGGCCCGTGCCCACCCGGGCCCCCCATCGCTGCAGGGTCTGCACACAGAGTTGGGGGGGGGACAGGCTGTGAGCCCTGGGGACCCTCCAGCCAGGACCTGCGGGTGACAGTGGCAGGTGTAACACTGCCATGATGGGTGTCCTGTCACCGGTGTCACCCTGCAAGGTGTGGGGACCCCAAGGGGCACACGGGGCACATGAGGAGCCCCCCCAACTCCACAGAGGGTGTATGGGGACCCCAAGGGACACATGGGGGCACCCCCAGCTCCACAGAGGGTGTATGGGGACCCCAAGGGGCACATGGGGACACCCCCAGCTCCACACAGGGTGCATGGGGACACCAAGGGGCACATGGGGACACCCCCAGCTCCACACAGGGTATATGGGGACCCCAAGGGGCACAGAGGACACATGGGGACCTCAAGGATCCCCTCCAAGCTCCATACAGGGCACGTGGGGACCCCACAGAGCACATGGGGACCTCCAAGGACCCCACAGGGCACATGAAGACCCCCTCAAACTCCTCAAAAAGCACACAAGGACCCCCAAAACCTCTTGGGGGATCCCCCCAAGGGCCCCACAAGGCACGGGGGACCTCCAAAGACCCCAGAGGGTACACAAAACCCCCCTCAAACTCCTCAAAAAGTCCACAGGGACCCCCAAGACCCCACAAGGCACAGCTGGATTCTCACCCACGGGACCCCCCCCTCGCTGTACCCGGTGGTTACGGGGGGATCCCGCCCGTGCACAGCCGGGGGTGCCCCCGGTGCCCCCCGGTGCCTGGTGATGTAACCGCGGCCGCCCCATTGCATCACCCGGGGCCGCGGGCACCGGGCAGCGGCCAAGGCCGGTGCGGGGCCGGTCCCGGCCCCGCGGGGACTTTGGGACGGACACAAAGTCCGCAGGGTGGCGGTGGGGGGCGGGGGGGAACCGGACGGGGGGGCACGATACCGGGATGGGGGTCCCGGTGTCCAGCGGGGGGTGAGGAAGAGGAGCGGGATGGAATTGAGAATTTTAATCCCCCATCCCTGCACCCCCCATCCTTAAATTTGGGGTCCCCCGTCCTTGCACCTCCCTCATCCCGAATTTTGGGGTCCCCTATTCTTGCACCCCCCATCCCTAATTTTGGGGTCCCCCATCCTTGCAACCCCATTCCTAATTTTGGGTCCCTTATTCTTGCACCCTCCATCTCTAATTTTGAGGTCCTTGCACCCCCATCCCTAATTTTAATCCCCCATCCCTAATTTTGGGGTCCCCTATCCTTGCAGCCCCCGCATCCCGAATTTTGGGGTCCCGCCCCCTCTCTCTCCCCCCCGCCCCCGCTCGGAGCGGGACCAACACACTCCTTTTGATTTTCCCAGGCTTTTCTTTATTTTCCACTTTTTTTCCATTTTCATTTTCTTTACAAAAAATAAAATAAAATTAAAATAAAATAAAATAAAATAAAATAAAAATGAAAAGCCCCTTCCCGAGAGGAAGGGGCAGAGCCCCCCGGGAACCCCCCGCCCCCCAAAATCTCATCCCTAAACCCCACCTGGCACTTTTCACGGCGTTGGGTGGAGGGGCCGCACACCTGGGGGGGGTCCCCATGGGGGTGGGGCATCAGAGAAGGGGAGGGGGCTCCAGAATACCTGGTGCACAGGTGTGTCACACAGGTGTGTCACACAGGTGTGTCACACAGGCGTGCACGGCTGGGGGGGGGGCTGCAGAGAGACCAAACCCCCCCCCAGAGTGGATGGGGTGAGGATGAGCCCCCCCAAGCACCCTGATTTGCCCCCCCCCCGCGCCACCTGTGCCACCCCAGAGGTGGCATCGCACCCGTCTCAGGGGGTGGAGTGGACCCCCAGAACAGGTGTACCCCAATGATGGGTGTCAATGGGAGGACCCCCAGAATGGGCATACCCCAGTGATGGGTCTCAGGGGGCTGGGACCCCCAAAAACAGCTAAACCCCGGGGGTGGGGTCTCAATGGGGGTCCCCTAGAACAGGTGTACCCCAATGATGGGTCTCAGGGGGTGGAGGGGACCCCCAGACCAGGGGTACCCAAATGATGTGTCTCTGTGTGGGGGTCCAGGACCCCCAGCACCGGCTCTACCCCAGTGATGTAGTGATTGGGGGGGGAACTGGGAACCCCAGCACCACTCTACCCCAGTATGGGCTCCTCAGTGTTGGGGTCTCAGTGGGTGGGTGGCACCCCCAGAACTGGCTGTACCCCATTGTGCTGCAGGGATGGGATGTCATTTTGGGGGGTGGGCGGGGGGGGGC